GGGTCCGGAGGGGTGTGAGTCTTCGCAGACTCCACAACCACCGGCGGCTGTCCCGGAGCGTCCGCCATAGCGCACTCTCGGGATGGACAGTGGCGGGGTGCCACGTCGCCGATGCTGGAACCGTCGCTCTCGCCCTCGTCATCTGGGAGTTTGTGGAAAATGGAAGGAGCGTAGCCTGCTGTTCCCACGGATTTGGTTGTGAGGGGGGATGGCGCCATCATCCTTCGGAGCTCCCAAGCGTACGCATCCGTGGAGGACGCGAGGCCATAGGGGAATCGATTGTACGGTATTTTTGGCGTGGGCGATACAGTCCCTCCGGGTGATCGGTGGGGGATAGTAAATGAAAAGTAAATAACATTACGTATATTACTTATAGTGGGGTTTGAGCAGAGAGTTTGCTCGGAAAGAAGCGCAGATGCCGCGTCGTCGAAGTCGCGCGTCTCGGAGTTGATGGAGGGCGCCCCTCTGACGGGTGCCGGGACGTGAGCCTCCTTGCGGAGGTGTAGTTCGCCGAGCCGGTCGGTGATGAAGTCCAGGCTTCCGGAGAGGAAGGCCTGGATGGCTCAAAGATGGTTGGGACCCGTATCCTAGCTAGTGAGAGCGTGGGAAACTCCAGCGAGCCAAAACGAATAGTATCGCCCGAGACCACCACGGCGAGGGTGGTGGAAAAGTGGGCCATCCGATGACCAAAAAGTGTTGAACGTACAACGTCTTCCCACAGACGGTGCCAACTATAGGTGCAGAATGTGACCAACTAGTAAATATTTGTTGTTTTACCATACGTTGTGATCGGAGGTGGCCTAGCACTCAATGACACGGGGTTTATACTGGTTCAGGCAACATGCCCTACGTCCAGTTTGGGTCGGTTAGTGACTTTATTCCTGAGCCTAGGTGCTAGAAGTTTGCAATGGGGTTACAAACAAGAAGGAGAAAGATAGGGTGTAAAAGAGGTCCAGTCGGCTCCGGTCGGAAGGGCCAAGAGCGACAGGAGCTACGCTATGAGCTAAGTGTTCAAGCGTGTGCTTGGGGTACGAACCCGACGGTTCTGTGGTTGTGAGCTGATGAGCTCGATCGATCTTGGTTTACTCAAAAGGACTAAAGAAGCTCTCCTTTGTTGGAGGGAGCGCATCCCCTTTTATAGATAAAAGGGATGGCTTTACAAGTGAGAGGGTGAGGGTACGTATGCTACTAGGCTCTGTCGCCCATGCCGGCAGGTACAAGATAATGGTAGGCGCTACAACACTGTTGGTCGTCACTGTAGAGTGTTAGATGCACGTGGGAGGTTGCGTTGCCTTCTTTAGAAATGGTAGATGTCGGTACCTGCAAACACTGTTGATGCCTAGAGGCATGTGAGGAGTTTCACCACGTTCACCTGGTACGGTAAATCCCAACGCCCACAACACTATCGATGCCCAGAGGCATGTGGGGGGCCTTACCGTATGGGAGTTAACGGCGCCTACAATACTGTAGAAGGAAATGTCAGCACCTACAATATTGTTCGTGTCAGGGTGGTTGCAGAGTACTATACAGGGTATGGTCCCTGGTATCGTGGTTTGACTCTGTGTGCCCTAGCTTGCTTTTTCCGTTTGTCGCCTGGTTCCTTCCGAGCGGGCGTTCCTGGTCGGATGGCCCTAGTCGGTCCTGGTCGCGCCAGTCGGAGAAGAGTGGTGAGCAGGGTTTCTGCGAACCTTGGTCGGAGACGCGGGGTCGGAGTCGGAAGTAGCGCTTTGGGCCAGCCTTCCGATCGGAGAGGCCGTCCGGAGGTGGCCGGAGTCCGAAGCGAGCGCTTGATCGGAGAGGTGGGCCGAAGTAGTCGACGAGCGGGCGCTGTTCCTCTTCGGCCAGACCTTCCGGTCGGTGACTGGACCACTCTTTCGGCCTGTTGTTTTAGATCCTTAGGCCAGCCCATGAGTTGTGTGCTGCCCGCTTGGGCCGAGCCTTGGCGTGGAAGCCGGTCCCCGAGGGACACTGGGTTTATGAACCCGACACACAGGGTTTATACTGGTTCAGGCAACGTGCCCTACGTCCAGTTTGAGTCGGTCGATGACTTTATTCCTGAGCCTAGGTGCTCGAAGTTTGCAGTGGGGTTACAAACGAGAAGGAGAAAGATGGGGCGTATGGGAGGTCCGATCGGACTCTAGTTAGAAGGGTCGAGAGTGAAAGGAGCTCCGCTATGAGATAAGTGTTCAAGCGTGTGCTTGAGGTCCAAACCTGGCGGTTCTGTGGTTGTGAGCTAGTGAGCTTGGTCGATCTAATGAATCTAGAATAACTTGTAAGAACTTGAATCAACTGAGTCTTTTGGGAGAGAGCACACCCCTTTATAGAGGAAGGGGATGACCTTACAAGTGAGAGGGAGGGAGTACGTATGCTTCTAAACCTTGTTGCCCACGCCGGCAGGTATGATGATGGTAGGCACCCACAACACTTTTGGATGTCGGATGCATGTGGGAGGTTACGTCGTCTTGTTTTGGGTATGGCAGATATCGGTACCTACATATACTGTTGATTTCCAGAGGCATGTGAGGAGTCTCACCATGTTCACTCGGCACGGTAAATTCCAGCGCCCATAACACTATCGATGCCCAGAGGCATGTGGGGGGGCCTTACCGTATGGGAGTTAATGGTGCCCACAATACTATAGGTAAACGTCGGCGCCTACAACACTGTTCATGTCAGGGCGGTTGTAGAGTATTGTTCCTGCAGGTGTACAGGGTACAACCCCTGGTATCGTGGTTTGACTTGTGCGCCTTGCCTTGCTTTTCTCCGTTCGTTCCCTGGTCCTTTCCGGGCGGGCGTCCCCGGTCGGTTGGTCCCAGTCGGCTCTGGTTGTGTCAGTCGGAGAAGAGCAGTGAGCAGGGTCTTTGCATACCCCGGTCGGAGACGTGGGGTCGGAGTCAGAAGTAGTGCTTTGGCTAGGCTTTTCGGTCGGAGATGCCGTCCGGAAGGCGGGCTAGAGACCGAAGCGAGTGCTCTGGTCGGAGAGGTGGGCCGGAGTCGGAAAGCGGGTACCGTTCCTCCTCGGTCAGGCCTTCCGGTCGGTGATTGGATTGCCCTTCGGGCCCGTCGTTCCGATACTTGGGCCAGCCCATGAGTTGCGCGTTATCTGCTTGGGCCGAGCCTTTGTTGGGAAGCCGGTCTATGAGGGACCCCGGGTTTATGAACCCGACATGATTCCTTTTATCCTTAAGGTTGGCCCAGATGTGTGTCCACTATCCTGAAAATACCATTTTACTCCTGTCATAAACTATTGGTTCACTATGCAAGTATGTAATCTTGTTCATATCTATGCTAGACTCTTTACACCATGCCTTTCTTTGGGAAAAATATAAATAACGATACCCTGAATACTTCTGGGTGAAATGCTACAACGATAAATCCGTGCGTTTGTGGATATTATTTCTATAATCGTTAAGAACTATCGTGTTGATGTTTCTTGGCGGCGTCGCTAAGGTTTACTAAATCTTAGTGATAGTGCTAAGAAATACCAATAGCCATTTCTGGTGCCACTGCTAGGGATGGATTCTATCTCCAACCTTGATAATGACGCTAAGAAATGCCAACATTGACCTCCAGATACATATTTTGGCCCAAGCTTTATACATTAGTTAATTTCCTCTTGTACACTTCACTTCAACATACCCCTTTGCATATTATCAAAGTGTTACCATTGGCTCTATCTATTGCACTTTTCTTAGAGTAGAGTATCTCCAATACTTCAAAAATGAATTAGTGAATTTTTAAGTGGCTAAAAAAGTTGGGAGCATAATTATTGGGTTCCTTCAATAATTTTCAAAATCTTGCATCTAAAATATAGAAGACATTTTGCATCAGAAATGTCGGACTATTTTCAAATCACCGAACCATTGCTTTCTTGTACATTTGGATTAGAAACTCTGTCTTTACTCTTCATTCTTCCCCACGTCCTTATACCGTATATTTCCGCGCGATTGGATTTATTTTCCCAACCGCGGAAAGATTGGGAGTTGAAATTGTTGGAGAGCATTTTTTTTCAATCTTGCCAAATAATCAAGATTGAGAATAGGTTTCGTAAACTCTGAGAGATGCTCTTAGTTGCCAGGCAAGAACCTCTCATTTTATTTGTTAAACTCTCATTTTGACTATAATTTTTTTATTGTATATTTTGTATGAAAATATAATCTGAACTACAACTTTGAATATGTTTTTATGCTAAGACAAATATTTAATCTCTAAGTCAAACATAAATAGCCTATTCTAATAATGGTATATGTCGGTATTAGAGTACTAGATACAAGGGTATTTCTAAGTTAGTTTTTTAATGTCAGTTACTGGTATGTGGATACTTTAATTTTTACTTTCTCTAACTAGCATGGTAATTTTCAAGAGTTAAGAATAAATACTAAGACAATATATTTCTGATGGAGTACCAATGCAAACACCCGAACAACAAGAGTGCTTATTGATCTTGATGAGAGGTTCGCATAAAGTAGTGCTTTGAAACTCCTACTTTCGTTTGCTGACTTTCAGTCCCTAATTGAACTTACGGGACCAATAACAGAGAGAGCTAGGAGAAGTTGAAAAACAGCCACGAGCAAAAAAGGCACGCTCAATCAATCCTCACTCAACGGCTCCGTTCTTCCTTAGAAAACAACCAAACCACTCGTAGATTGATCTTTTTTTTATCTTTATAGCTCACCACACATATTCACGACCTGAAAAATAAATTCTATATAAAAGTATACTAACGTATATTCATATCATAAAAGATTAGATTCTAAATTTAATTGATGCATAAGCTATACTAAACACACCCTAAATTTGTTGGCCTGATTCCGAGTTCCGAGTTCCCACTTCCCAGCCCCCAGCCCAGCTCGGATAGAGCAGATGTTCCATTTCCTCGTTGCGGGCGCAACCCGACATCCTAACGGTTGCTAAAACCCTTATCGGATCACATTGACACTCTCCTGGATAGTGGATAGAGAGTCACGCCCCTTCCTCACCTCGAGCAAAGAGGAGCGGCAATGGCCATGGCCTCCCCCGCTTTCCTCCTGCCATCACTGTTCCCCAAGCCCACTCCCCTCGCCGCGTCGCTCCACTGCAGCCTCCCACGCGCCCTCCACCTCCGCTGCTCGCCCAACGGCGCCGCCGTGCCGGAATCCCCTGAACCTGCCTCTCGCCGCGGCCGCAAAAAGTCACCGTCCCCGTCGGCGCCAAAGGCGAAGGCCACGAGGCGGAGAATCAAGAAGGCGGACCAGGATCCCGACTCGGAGGGCGCGGAGGAGCCGGCGAAGCGGACCAACCGCCGGACAAGGAAGTCCAAGGAAGAGGCCAAACAGGAGGAGGTGGCCCAGGCGGCGAGCCACGGAACGGAGCAGACGATTCAAGAGGCCAACGAAGAGGAGTATGCGGTAGAAGCGGAGAGCAACTACGATGACGACGAGGATTTTGCAAACGAGTGGCCGCCGCTGGTGTGCTGCTTCGGCGCGCCGCGGTGGGAGTTCGTGCCCACGGTGCGGGTGTCGGACCGCCAGATGCATCCCGACATGTACTCCACGTGGAGGCACCTGCAATGGGAGCCGCCCGAGTTCGCGCGCGCGCCGGGGAGCGCGGCGAGCAACGTGGCCATTGCGCTCACCCGGCTCGGCGGGCGCGCCGCGGTGCTGGGCAAGGTCGGCGACGACGACTTCGGCCGCGAGCTTGTGTACCGCATGAACTGCGAGCGGGTACAGACACGTGCCATCAAGTTCGACGGCAAAGCGGCCACCGCCGCGGCGCGCATGAAGGTGAGCTTCCGGGACCGGGAGGACGGCAAGGGCGGCACGAAACTTGTAGCCGAGACGGTGAAGAGTGCCGCCGAGGACTCCCTCCGCAAGACTGAGATCAATGTAGATGTGTTGAAAGAGGTGAGTTAGTGATCCTTGGATAAACATTGGATTCCGAATTTCCGATTCAAGATTTATGCTCGCATAGTCATTTCACGGCAAGCTATGTCTTTATGTGCATAACAACCACGGTGCACTGTTGCAGAACAATTGCATCAAATCAATTCCTGGCTGAAAAACAAAATTGATGTGATCTAGCAGCATAGCATGATTGCCAATTGTATATCATGGAAGGTCGATTCTTCTAAAAAGATTCAACCTTGATGCTAAACTCTCTACTCAACTTATTTGAGTTTTGTATATGCATACAGATGCCACTTGATCTCATAGTGCAGAGTTGACATCTGAATCAGTCTTATTTATGGAATCTAAGATAGCAGCGGATTATGGACTGATAAAAGTTTCATTATTTGTATTTAGAAAATAGATAAAATAAAATTGTTATAGCAGTCCATGAAAATCAGAGGTTATACTGCATTAGCTAAAGCTTCTAGCTCTGAAAAAAAATGAACATTCTTCATAATAGATTTGTCTCTGTGGTTTATTTCTCCACAACTTTATTATTATGTTTAAATCATGATAGCTTTCACAATCACGGTGTGATCATCTTCCAGACTGTTTCAAGTATGCATTTGAACAATAAAATGGTGTCCTTTGGGATGCCGTCAGAATTAACAACTTTGCAGATAAAGAGTAAGTTTAGCAGAATTGCACTGTTCAGGGTCACACGCTGGCAACAAGATTTTAAGAGGACACATTTTGATGAGTTAGATGTAGTCATTGCTATTGCATTGCAAACCATTTTTTCTTTATTCAGATCTAATCTGTGGCAATTACACAGGCTAGAATGTTCCATTTCAATTCAGAAGTCCTGTTAAACCCTTCAATGCACGACACACTCTTCAGAGCTATTGAGCTGTCCAAGAAATTTGGAAGCAAAGTGTTCTTCGATCTCAATTTGCCATTGCCATTGTGGACTTCCAGGGATAAAACAAAGGAGGTGATAAACAGGGCATGGAAAGAGGCTGATATCATAGAGGTATCAAGGGATGAGCTGGAATTCCTCCTTGATCATGAGTACTATGTGTACAAGAGAAACACCCCACCTCAGTATTATCTGGAAGGATTTCATTTTACAAGAAACTGGCCACAGTACTACCACTACAGCCCTGAAGAGATCGCTCCTATTTGGCATGATGGTATAAAGATCTTGCTTGTGACCTATGGGACACTTCGGATCCACTATTACACACCTAAGTTTCATGGCTGTGTGGTTGGGACAGAGGATGCACTCATAACTCCATACACCACTGACCGAACAGGTTCAGGGGATGCTATTGTGGCTGCTGCTATTAGGAAGCTGACAACTTGTCCTGAAATGTATGAAGACCAGGATACATTGGAGAGGCAACTGAGATTTGCCGTTGCCGCTGGAATCATATCACAATGGACAATTGGTGCTGTGCGAGGGTTTCCCACTGAGAGTGCTGCCCAGAACCTGAAGGAAGAAGTCTATGTGCCTTCTATGTGGTGAAATGATAAATCATCTGTGATGGAATGAACAAATATACGATACAAGCATACTTCATGAATGGTCTAACAGAACTGAACAAGGGAGTTTCCCTTTTTTTTACGACAAGAGATCTACAAGCGCAACTTACATGCACTAATTGCTCAGGTATCCTCTCACAATCCATTCTGTATTCATTTCAATTTTCAACTTGCGTGGTATGCATGCCATTAAATGCATCTACTGATTGACAAATGTTACATAGTTGAATCTTGATTTGTGATTTGTGAACAGTTGGATCTTCATTTTAATTTGTGAACTGAATTCTCAGGTATACTCAATTTGTTGCATTGTTTGAAAACACACAGGTTTGCATTTTAATTTTGCTCATGATGTCTAAACCATATTAAGGACCCTGGTTTGAATGAGCACACCAGTTCTAGAAAGATATTTAGTTAGTTTCTTTTTTCCACAGGGAGAGACTCCCCTGGGCTCTTTTTTTTTTAAGAAAAAAATAAGGTTGAGGGGTACTGAACCCTGTTTTTTCAGGGAGTTACCCAAAAATTAGTGAGCCCTGGGTGGCTGCCCCCTCAACTGGAGTCACTAACCAACCGAGTTACTACTCGGTTCTCATTTAGCGAGTATATTCTTTAAGACGAACTAATATGGAATGGGAAGTGCACATAGCATAAAACTTGATGGACTGAACTAGGCTATAGCACATAATTCATTGCTTGTCCGCCAAAAAAAAAAATTGATCTGTAGCTAATGATTATTGTACATACACATTATTCGCACCAATCTGTGCATAATAAAATGAATGAAGTTAAGATTAAGGCTGTACATCTGGACTATGGACTAAATACAAACATACACTAAAACTCTTCAAATCTGCTAATTCTACACTCTGTGGTACAACATATATCTTCTTCGAATATCTTTGCCTCTTCTATTTTGAAACTTGAATAAACAATTCTTTGAAAATGCACATTTCAGTGAGTGTTCCCTCCCATGTCCTTGTGTAAGATTGAAAAATACATAAATTTTATCTGTGTGTAGGAAAATAACATGTGCTTTTGCTGTCAGTTTACCAGGAATTGCACTGTTTGGTGTATGTCAATGAGTCACAGGAAAGCTCGCTGTATGATAACTGACTATTCGTATGTAGAGTAAGTTCATGCCACTTGATCCTGTGTGTTTCTTTTGCACAAGCACCCTGGAAGTGGATTTGCATAAAAATACTCCTCATGCCTTGGACTTCGACCAGACAACCTCTGATGTGGACCTCCAACCCTGTTTTCATGATGCATCTTCACTTCACTTGCGAACTCTGTCCAATTTATTGTCCCTTCATCAAGCTTGTCAATGAGCTCGACAAGCTTGTGCCTATAGACAGTAAAAAAATTAAGTACTTTGGATTTAGAGCTGAATACTCAAAACAATATTCCAGAAATTTACCTGTCAGGGTTAATGGTTTTTCGGAATCCTTCATATCTTCTATGGCCCTGAACTGCTTTAGCCATATTTCCATCATATGTATACACAAAAACATCACTCTGGAGGGCTACATTGTAGTCTACAGCAGCTAATCTATTTTGGTACAGCTTGAGAGACTCTAATTCATTTGCTGTTGCCAGACTATAATGTGTGTAGACATTTGGATATTCGACCTTAAATGCATCCATGCTATGTACACCATATATTTCACCTGATACAATGTAGATCTTTGTGCTGGAAGGATAACCCATAGCTTTCAGGAAAAGAGCTGCTTCACGAGGAGTCATAGGGCAGCCTCCTTGGAGTCGCCTCTCCTTACTGTTGATTTCCTTCTCTTTCCAATGCTGCACCTTGAGTCGCATTTCCCTCAGTTCCTCTGCCTCTTGATATGTTAGGTTGTGGCTGCAGCCAGTGAATGAGAGCATGTCCTTCTCATACCTGTTAGTTTATAATGAAGAAAACATTGGTGTCATTGATCTGCATGTTCCTCAGCAACAAAGTGCTGTCAGCCTGTTATTAGACAATTGCATTTTCAGTCACCTTAAGTGAAGTGCGATATAATGGTTGGATCCATTCCTCAGTCTATCAACTAGAGTATTACCTAGCTCTTCAATTTCTTGATTGTATCTTAGTGCCTCGTAATTTGCACGGCATCGGAGTCTTTGGATAGAAGGTGGGAGACCATTGTTGACAATACGTGAATCTGTATGTGTGAATTTCACAACTTTGGCCTTCTTCAGTGTCCTTGTGAAAGCTCTGTAATAAGAAGCCTGAAAAGAAAATATTAAATCATCATTTTTCTGATATATAACTTCAATACCAATTAGTCCTGAAGTAGTTGATTCATACCCTGGCCCAGGATTTGGGTGCTCTAATATAGGGTTTCAATCTTTTGAAATCTGGCGGCAAGGAATCCACAATCATGATGTCATCTTCTAAAGTTTCCTTGAAGTGTTGCACATCAAATATATCTTTGAAATCACTGCATGTCAAGCCAAAACATCAGTCTCAAAAAGTTGTATAGATTTCTTGCTGTACGGGTTCAAAGAGGACCTTGGATCAGTCCAGAATGATTTATGGTCCAGGGTAGGGATTTCTAGGGTGGCATTCATGAGCTTAGCAACCGCAACCATATCACTTATCTGCAAGAATGATTTTGAAGAATGCATGTGAGCTTGAAAGGCATTTTTCTGTATTCAAGTTTTTTAAGATCATTGAAAACATACTCCCAGTCTCATTTGGTTAAGTCCACCATTGGCTTCAGCAATTATATAGCCAGTAGTTGTACTGTTGGTTCCTGAAAAAGCAGTGCAAGTGTTGTCGAAATGTAGGCGCTCAGTTAAGACTATTGTTACTTAGAACTAATGTTGAATTGAAGGAAGATGGGGAAGATGAGCTCACTGTAACGATTTTTTGGGCGTTCAATGCATTTTGTGTAACCCTCGCTATCTGGTTTCATCCATATCTGGGTCATCTGTTGGATTCCAAAACAAATTTTCAGCATAGAATTAGGAGAATCAGTATCTAATAAAATCTCGTGTCAAGTCAATAAAAGTAGAAGCTCCCAGCATATAAATAAGGAGCATCATTATCTAATAAAATTATTTATATTCCTTTATTTGCAGGTCTATGGTTGCTTTAGTTAGGTGGCAGACAGGTAGGAGGAGTTTGTGCTTCGTATTGTCCAAAGAACAAGGAACTCTTACTAGTCATACAAGCACTAGTAGCACTTTGTGGGGATAGGATCGATTGATGTGAACTCTCACTTTATGTCCATTCATTTTTTCTCTCTCTTTTTCTTCTTTTTTGAAGACTCATGTAGAATTTTTCGGAGGCTTAATAAGGATTAGGTTAGCTCTAGGAACCGCCAAAATAATTTGTTATCTGCTCTAGATATCTGTCTTTACTGTCAAATGACAACTTGTCTGTAGTCTCATGATGTCACTGTCGTCATTGTAAAGTTCCTAGTGTGCTTATCATCTGGCTGTTCTGCAAAGGGCTCCGCTGTACGTACGCCTCATTTGTGCCACTTCTTTGCGAGGACTCAATTTTACAACTCCGCGACGAACGGGAAACATCGAGGAATGTTACGTGGTGGCGTTTGGATCTTCTCGTGGTTTTTATCGACTCGAAGAAGTAAAATACCAATGAATGTTACGCGATGAGTTTTAGACAAATATAAAGTCTCAACGAAGTACGTTGGGATCATTAAGGACATGTACAACAATGTTGTGACTAGTGTTCGAACAAGTGATAGAGATACGGATGACTTCCCGATTAGGATAGGACTACATCAAGGATTAGTTTTGAGCTCTTATCTGTTTGTCTTAGTGATGGATAAGGTCAAAAGGGATATACAAGAGGGCATCTCTTGATGTATGCTTTTTGCGGATGATGTAGTGTCAGTTGATGAAAGTCGGACAGGAGTAAATCAGAAACTAGAGTTATGGCGGGAGACTTTGGAGTCCAAAGATTTTAGACTCAGTAGAACTAAAATTGAATATATGGGATGTGACTTCAGCACTACTACTCGGGAGGAGGAAGATATTAGTTTGAAAGGTCAAGCGGTGCTTAGAAAGGATACCTTTCGATATTTAGGATCAATGCTACAGAGAGACGGGGATATTGATAAAGATGTTAGCCATAGAATCAAAGCAGGGTGGATGAAGTGGTGCCAAGCATCTGGTGTCCTATGTGACAAAAGGGTACCACAGAAGCTAAAAGGCAAGTTTTATAGGACGACGATTAGACCTGCTATGTTGTATGGTGCACAATGTTGGCCTACGAAAAGACGATATGTTCAACAGATAAGTGTCGCGGAAATACGTATATTGCGTTGGATTTGCGGTCATACAAGAAGGGATCGAGTTCGGAACGATGATATACGTGATAGATTAGGGGTAGCACCAATTAAAAAAAAGCTTGTCTAACACCGGTTGAGATGGTTTGGACATGTCCAACGAAGACCTCCAGAGACACCGGTGCGTAGTGGAATCATAAGCCAGAATAGTAACATGAAGAGAGGCAGAGGAAGACCGAAATTGACTTGGGTAGAGGCAATAAAAGGAGACTTGAAAGGATGGAATATACCAAAAACTTAACCTTAGATAGGAGTGCTTGGAAAACTAGCTATTCATGTGTCTGAACCTTAATTGCTTATCTGCTGGATTTTAACTCTAGCATACTTCCAATTTGTTTGGGATTTAAAGGTTTTGTTGTTGTTGCTGCTGCAACGAACGGGAAACCAGGAGATAAATGGCCAAAAAATCACTCAAATATACTGGCTCACTTGCCAAGACGCATCTGGTTGTACCGGAGTTGTACAAATGTAGGTGAAGTATTTCCCTTTCTGTAAATTTGAATTTGTGTGAACACACATGTCCCTAGATTTAACTTGTGGTCTGTAACTATGCTGTGTTTTCTGTGGTTACGAGGGGAGGCCCTCCAGCGTGAATTTTCAGTGTTCGGTTTTCCGTGGGAGTTTTCAGAGTGTTCAGTGTGTGATGCGGCGCTATCCTAATCCTAATGTTGTTGAGAACATCAACGCCAACCCTTTTGGAAGCACCTTGTTAGTGGCCCATACCACGGGCTGAGTATCACTCTTCCAATTGAATTTCCCTACGACCGGCAAACAAAACAACTACACATGAAAGAAGAAATAGCGATGTGCCAAAGAGCTGCTCTTCTGAAAGGGCATGTACGGACGGCGACCTTGGGCTCCTTCCTGAATCGTGGAGCCTCTGAAATGTCTTCGGCTTCGGCATCCCGTCTGAATGTCTCTGATTCCACGGCAAAGAAACAAAAACTTGTTGTGTTTCTCCATCGCGCACAGGCATACCCCTACCCAGACCCAGTCCACGAAGATCAAAATATCCGACGCGTCTCTCTGCATCCAGTCGCCGACTTGGCTTGGATCCCTTTAACTCGGCACGTTCGAATGGTTTCTAGGCCCATGCAGAGCTTTGAAAGCCGCGAGTTAAGTGTGATTAACATGCATGCTAACAATAACTGGCAGCCTCTAGACTCTAGTGGTGCATGCAGTCAACGGCGAGAGTAGAGAGCTACGCACCGGCGGGTCGGGCGGGCGGCGAGCTACGGCGGTGAGGTTCTCCTCCCTCCAGCCCAGCACCTCGGCGTCCACCCTGCGAACGAGCCTCCCTCCGGCGCCGACGGCGCCTCGGCGCGAGCTCATGACGAGGCCGATGACGACGGCGACGCCGAGCAGGCACGCCACCGCGTTTCGCACCCAGGCCTGGTCGACCACGGGCACCCGCTTGCCGCCGCTGGCCCTCCGGGCGAAGAACAGAGCCTTCACCCGCGCCGCGCCGGCGCCGGCGCCGTGGCCGCCGCGGCCGTCGTTGTTGTCGCACGGGACGAAGTAGTCGGCTGCGGCGGCCGCGTCCGTCAGGCGGCGGCGGTGCGCGCCGGATGTGACGGTGCTGCAGCTGCAGGGCGAGGACGACGACGAGGATGATGACGCTGTGGACGACGACGACGCGACCATGGCCAAAGCGGCTTGGTTTAGACAAGGACCCAACCAATGAACCAAGCGCAGGAGCTCGATCGCGAGGAGAGGAGGGAACCAGGCCAGGGATCAGAAGGAGCCGAGGTGCGCAGGTGGGTGGTGGTTTGCAGTTTGCACGACGAATCGTGCGCGCGCGCGTGCGCGTGCGTGCGTGCCCTCCCACTCCCAGTCTTCCCACCCCTGGTGGTTCGGCTCCGCGCAGCTGCCAGCCAGGCCAGGTGCGCCGCGCGCGGGCGGGAGGCAAGCGAAGCGAGTTTATTCAGGTTTGCCGTCGCTGGTGTCGTTGCCGCCTCTGCTGTGCGCCATGCTTGCTGGCCCGAACGCACCGCGCGGCTCGCTTTCGTGCCCGTCGTCGTTTATACGGCTCGCTTTCCCGGCCCGTCCCGGCCCTCTTTTTATTGCGGGTGGTGTAGCGCAGCCGAGGGATCGGAGGGCGCAATCATTCGGCGCACTGCGCGCGCTGTGCTACACTGCTACGTATTCGAATTCCCAGTACCCAGTGGGCATCCGGTTCTTTCTTTCTTTCCTTTTGTTTCTCCCTGAAATTCGCCGTGCTTGAGCATGTGTTATTACATAAGAATGGTCGGATCAGGACTCGTCGAGGCAATCGGTATGGTCGATCAGCACGGCACACGTGAAGCGAACAAGCAGCCAAGCAGGGAGTGCACACGCTACACTACAGCTGATGATCCGTGAAAGTAGCTTTTCCTTTTTGGATGCAAACAGGTCCGTACGGATCGAAGCTTCCCTGAGCATCAGAGCTACAGCTACAGGCTACAGCATGAGTGCAGGTGCAGTGCATAATGCGTACTCCGCACTGTCAGTGGACGGAGGTGGTCCTGCGGTGGTTTTAGTGCTAGCGCGCCTGATTCCTTCCTTTAACTGAAAACACTGACCATTTGGTAGGTAGGGACATCTGATGTGACGAGCTGAGCAACTGCAATCGCTAAATTAAACGTGTGTTAGTGCAAGTGACGACGCGCTGACCGAGTTTTCTCCCGCTTTGACGTAGCCCGGGTCGAGCAAAACACCGACTTTTTATGCAGCGCCGTGTCGACGGCTTGACTATTCTCTCCCAGCGCCGTTGAAACAGTCAGGTGGCCACGTAGCACGCCACGTCCACGGCCACGAGAGCAGCCTAACGACGCGTACACGCTCGAGCCGCCACAGGGGCTTCGATCCCGCCCCGAAGACTTCTGCTAGTTTGCTTTGCTCTCGTCTCGTCTCCCGCTTGGTCACATCACCCGGATACGTACGGACGAAACGCCTTGCAGGTCCGGGAATTCGTAACAGTGATTGATGACTAGCTTAGTGCCACGCTGCGTCTCGTCGAGCCATCATAATCTAGCCCAGTTCCCCCGGCTGCACGGACTTGAACAGTAAGACGGACTGGAGCACATGGGCACGTACGGTACGGCAAATCTCCACGGACCGGAGAGCAGGATGATGTCGTGTGCCTCAACGTCGTCAACGATGATTGCCGGTGTGCAGACTGAAGAGCCAGGTGTTGTCGTTTGTGTGACTGTGTCCATCGGTCAGGGCATCATCAGGCCGATCAAGGCTAAAACATCCCATCCCAAGTGGGAAACCACCCAACGGAGGTGGTGCCGGTGCGTGCGTGGCCGCCACGTCGGGTTCTAGTCTAATCAGGTTGACGCGCACTTGTTTGCTTCGGGCTTTGCTTGGTGCTCGTGAACAAACTTTCCATCGAGCCCAATTAGCGCGACGCGGACAGGATTCTGGTGGCAGCGTCTGTGAATAAGTAGCGACCTAATTTCTGTGCCCAGCGCCAGCAGTCTTGAGAGCTAGCTATACTACGCCTATACGGCAACTGCAAGTCTGGCGCGGTATCAGACACCCCGTGACCGAACAATCCGTTTTCCACGCCGGCCTCTGCTCACTGCCATCGAGCGCGCGCCGGAGCGTGCCTCTGCTGAGGAGAGTGCTGACTGCTGGTGCTCCGCAACGTCAGCCTGGTCACGGGCAGCACGGCGCGAAGCAAAGCATCCGATCCGAGCCGGAGTGCCGGACCTGACGAGAACGTGAGGTCTAGCTCTAGCATGCCTCGCACGAAAGCTGTTGGTGACCTGAACCTGTCCTCGCTCACGGCTTGCCAAAGCCACAACACGCCACTGTTCGGAGACACGGGAGCACACGCGCGGGCACTGCAGCCCCGCGTGCCGGTGGCGTTCGACCTCGTCCAACATGGCAACAACATCAAGAACTCAAGTGCGTTGATGTGTCTTTTTTTTTTTGTCATAGGTTCAATATGTTAGGGTGTTGAGGCTGAGGATCCTTTCCCTTTCGTTTTTCTCTTGCTGATCGTTGTGTGGTAATCCTAGGATTACCTGTGAGTTTTTTTTACCATTTCAAACTCTACTTCCACTTCATGAAAAACGTTTCTGAGGCTACAGTCATGGGGAAAAAAATGTTACTGTTGTCAGAATTGTCTTAGCTGCCAGGTTTGGGGGGCCTATTTCCCTTTCGTTTGCCTTTCCCTGCAAAGCCCACTAATGACTCAGTTTCTGAGCAGCCTATCTGGCCTAGACCACTCCACTCCCCAGTGGCCCAGTCACGCACCCGTGCATTAACCTGTTGGCCCGTCCATTCGTGAAGCAGCCCACGCCCTCAACTTTGTCTCAGTGACTCAGCAGAGAGGATGGCGACGATTTTGACCGAATCAGCACGAGAGTCCCCAACCTTTTTTTCCATTAAATGAAGAGAAGAATGATATTTACAAAGTATAAAACAAAGATAAGTATAAGTACAAGGCCTCCAGGCCCAAAGAGAAAAAAGGGGAACTATAAAATGTAACTATCTCTCCAAAGATTGAGGGGAGCCTGTCTGACTAGTATGGCCTTAGTACACACTTGACCAAGGAGGATGGCGACGATGGTAACGGCGATGTACCAACCTGTTCGCTTGTTGGTTTCAGCCAGGGCTTATTAGTCGACCAACAGTGTTTTTCTCTCACAACAAACGCAGCACTAGCCAGGCTTATCAGCCCAAAAACCAACCAGCGAACAGATCGAAAGACTCGTGGCCGACAGTCGAACATTTTATTGGTAGCATAGGTGATAGATCTCGAGTTACCTTGAAGCTACCTGAAGAAGGTTCGCAAAAAGAGCACTATTTCATCACCAAAGCTAAAATTCTAATATTGCCCAGCCATATAACATTCCATGCAGCTCCAAGGCTACATTATGTAGACGGACAGATCACGATTGTGATTGATGTCAAAAGTCAAAAACTATTTCCCTTTGAAACATAATATTTCACGAGTCAAAATTTTCAAGCGAATACACATTGACATCAACGCAGCTTCTTCGTTTCCGATATCATATTCGTCATCTTACATTTATACTCTTTGCACGCTCTTCCACATGCCTGAACATATATCGAAGCTTTCTTGAAGAATCTGGCAATGTGTTCTTCAGATTGCTCCAGCAATGCGGGGACCGTGAGAGCAATAACAGCACCTGACAGAATAGGGAGTAAAAAGTTTAGCAATTCGACATGGATCAGCAAGATTAATAGAGCATTTTTGTTTCCAAATTGATCCCCCCTTTCTGTAGGATTTTCCATGCCGTTCCAAATACGAAAATGTGGACGCAGCGAATTGGACTTTCAAATCGGGTTGAATGCTTACAGTCCACTGCTAGTATGATCAAAGTAGATACGATGCAGCCCGTCATGCCCTCACGTTTATGTATCCTTGGATTACATTCAGCAGCACTAGTGCAGAACTTCTGACAAGAAACTCATTTTGAATGGAACTTTTGGCGAAACTAGAAACATCATGCTGTTCTATCAAACTAAGTGATAGTGTGAGCATTGCCTCTGTTTCCATTGTTATGCCATTGTGCAATGTTACCAGCACAGATTTTCAGTGCAATTATAAGTGATCTGATGATAAGTGTCTTGTACACGTTGTCAGTGCAATCATAAGTGATCTGATGATAAGTGTCCTGTACACGTTTTCATATCGCAATTCATAATGAGGTTCTTCTAAAGATGCACAGTGCTTCCTAGCTCATAAGAAATGTAAATGAAACAGTAAAAGAACTTACCTGTATATACTAAAGTGATAAGATCAGTCAGTCGGCCAACTATGGAGGTCAGCAACAACACAAAAGCCACCTTGTAGAAGAGGTTGGAATCCTTTCCAAGTGCAATGTTTTCGAAATCCTTGAGCACCTTATTCATGAAGCTACCAACTATTTCTGCTGCTCCGCTCATTGACTCATCAGAAATTTTCATCAATGGGATAGGTGGAGCTGCCCTGCATAGGTTTCTTTGCATTGTTAGAGTTGGCACAAACAATGAATTAAAATTACAATCTAAGAGCAAAAGAAATTACTGTATACAGCATATTCTTTTCTTTTTTGGTCTATCCTTGATATTTGCTTTGTTTTTGCAATAAGGATCATGGTACTGCACAACAATGTTAAATTTCACTCAGAAACTAAAACATAAGCAAACATTTCTACTACATTCTGTGAATGTCATCTGCTAACAGAGTTCTTGACTAGATACATTCGCCACTGCAGCAATTAAGCAGCCCTATCAAAATGGTAAGAGTTGTTGAACCAAGGTCCAAGGCCAAATAATTCCATTAGCTCTAACATGCCACCACGGATTAGAACTTCAACAATCTTTACCGATTACCATGCTAGCTAGCACAAGCATCCACACAAAACGAATCAGCCACAGTGGTTTCACCAATGGGTGAGAGATCAAACCAGAATCACCTGTTGAGCAGCTGCGCAGCCTTGGCCCAAACGAAGAGGACGGTGAGCAGGATCATGAGCACCTGGGACACGAAGGAGAGCAGCGTGTAGCCGGGCACGCAGTAGAAGAGCGCCCAGGACGCCACCACCGCCGCCAGCATCCCGCCGGCCAGCTCCTTCCTCCTCCACAGCACCACATCCGCCACTGCGCCCACAGAAAAGCTCCCACGCCACGCTCTCAGAATCCAAACGCGAAATGCAGATAGAGAGAGAGCCTAACAACATGGTATCGATCAAAACGGTCAAGGAGGACTCACCGGCGCCGCCGCCGAGGAGGTCGTGCGGCGATCTCTGGGCACCAAACAGCCTGCAGCTGGGGGAGTCCATCGCACCGCCACCGCAGGACGGATCTCTCCTCCGATGGGAAAAGGGAAAGGGGACAGGCAAGGCAAGAAGAGCCTGAATGGCAGCTACTGAGTGGTCTCGTTAAGTCCAACTTGTCGAGCTGGAAATTTTAGAAAATTGCAAGGCGGAGAAAATTGGGTGGAAAGAAAAAGGCGCAAGCGTGGCGTGGGGCCCCACAAAGGCACAGATACCTCGTCAGCAACACCGTCGTATCTGAACCCAAAGAAACAGAAAAATAAGAGGAAAAGTATGGCGTCCGCGTCGCATCCTTGGATTTCCTTTACACCTGACCAGATGACAACACGGGCGGCCTCCGCCTTTCGGCACAAGCTCGGACAAAACGGACGGCCTCCTTCCGGGCTCCGCCTTTCGGCACAAGCTCGGCTCTGGTATGAGACTATGAGGTATGGCTATGGCAGGTGAGTGCAAAGGCCAACAGCCAAGAGACCAAGAGGAGCAACAGGCAATGAACAATGCGTGCTTACTGATTTGGTTCATTGGTAGGAGTACAAGTGAATCTAACGACATAAAAAAAAACTTGGAGATTGTGCATGTGCATCTGGGTTAATATAGCATTTGGCTGACGCTTAAAAGGTATTCCCGTCATCGATTCAGCCCAAAATCAAGCATGTTACATGCGCTCCACCACCGGCTCATGACTTCATGTCTTGGCACAAACTGCAAAAATTGACAAAGGTAACACCTGCAGAAACAAGCTCTTGACTCGGTAATTCATGGCTGCAACGACGACACAACAAGAACATGAGCATTCATTCACCATCAGGCTTTGGATATTGTCGGATTCACCTCAATCCACGTGTGTTGGATTGGACTGGGTAGAATTTAGTTCAAGTTTCACTCCAATCCACCCAACGTATGTGGATTGAGACGAATCCGCCTACATCCAAACAGGGGCTCATGCTGTAGTGTGATGGGAGATCCAGCATAAGTTCACACACATGAAAAAGGACAGAAAAAAAGGGATTCAAAACCACCACTCTAGTCTCTACGCAGTTCGCACATAACAGTTACACCAGTTAAAAGTTTTAAAACCCATTCAATTCAGACTATGCATTTTGTATACGGCGTTCGGAGCTAAAAAAAAACATAACTCCACTGAAATGGAGGGCAGTTTCTGTTTGTATAGTCTAACTCAGTTACAGACTGATCAGAAGTGCCAGCCTATTCTTCTTTCGCTGATCCTTTCTCCTCTACAGAAGAAACCTCCCTTTTGGTGTCACTTCCTGAAGCCAACTCCTGAGTGTCCTCACAGGGAGGTCCACTCGGCTCAGATTTATCAGCTTCTTCCTGGTTATTATCTTTGCTTGGAGCTGCTTCAGTAGCAGGAGCATCTTGTGAATTGCTGGATCCTTGAGCTGCATTATAGCTGGCAAATGGACCCCCGGTGTCCATCAAGCTAGCAGCTATAGCAGCATTCAGATCAGCCTCTTCTTGCTGCGCTGCAATCATGTCCATTTCACTCATCCCTTCTGATTGTTCACCAAGTAGAGAGGGTTGTACCTGCTGAGTAGGTGTTTGAACCTGGTTACAGGAGGCTGTTATCCTGCGGGCATCATCAGGGGTAAGCCATTGACCAAAACCGTTAGAGCCTTCAGTTGCCATAGGGCACTCCTTGGGGAAATTGCCTCTGACTGCAAAGATACTCCAGCCTGACCCCTTCAGGGTGTCAATGAAAGCTGAGAGGTAAAACTTTGACAGGTGCTCGGGAGCTGGGTAGAGACTATTAAAGTTATACCACTCCCCATTCACCTTCCTGATGCAAAACCAGTGGTCCTGCAGGTGGCAAATGAAAGCAACCTCCTGCTCAGGGTCAAATAGGGACGACCCAGCAGCTGGGGAATCAAGGGGGATAACTTGGAGGTCCCAAACCTCCAGCGCCTTCTGCAAAACCTGTTAGAAGAAACCTATTAGAAGAAATGAATAAAAGCTATCCGTGTAATAGACTGGTACCATATTTGGTTGAGTTACAGTTAATAATAGAACATATGAACTCTACATGTGGACATGAATAAAAGCAATGGACAATGCTGACAGCATTCCAGATTCATTGCAAAGATACAAGCATAGATGATGCTCCTCTAAGAGGGAAAACTGTTCAGATCAAATGTAAGTATAAAGGCTGAGACAAACAAAGTGAAGAATCACAATTTGTGTATTTCAACGTATAACCGCGCCCCATCTGTCCAAATTCAGGTCTAATGTGCACCTTCTTAAAAAAATGTACTTTCAACTTCTAAAATATTTACCCATTCCCTGAGTGTGGCAGGACCCACTACCAAAATCTTGCAGCTTTGGGTTAGAAACGAATACTTAATGAATTCCTAATCATCTTTCCCCCAATTCACATCCAAATGTGTGAAGTGATAATCAGAGGGTCTGACCAGGATGCTGCAGTTATACAATGCAAAGACAAATATGATTCAATGAAGAAAAAGGGGAAATAGCTAATTGTTGCATATGTTTGGTGACCCTTCTATACATCCTGAAGGCTTTAGGAGAAAACTTTAAAAGAACTGGAATGCCTCCATACTGCAAAGTGCCATATCAGGACAGTATTAAAGCCAGTGCCGGCCCTAGGGGTAGGGTACGAGGTGCGACGGCCGAGGGCCCAAGCGGAGGAGGGGCCCAAGCCCAGATATACAACCCCCCAGGTCCTATAGTCCATTAGGTATTAGCAAACTAATGAGAAGAGAGATATAGAACTGGCCAGTCGACCCAAAAAGACAACATCGATATTTCTTTCCTAGTTTTCTTTCCCCACGGCCCTCGAGTAGAGAGGAGGCGAGGAGTCACGCTGCACACAGCACACTCTGATCGTGAGTTCGCGACGTGCGCCTTACACACGCGGAGCTGGCGAGACGCGCCGCCGCGAAGAGCTAGACTATCGGAGACACGGACACGGCGCACGAGGACGACGACCAGGCAGGGCTCCACGACAATGACATCTTGATTCTTGGCTTCTTATGAATTGCAATCACCGATCAGTTGTTTAGGCCCAAGGTAGTTTTTTCCTTTTTATTTTTAATCCAAATTAATTATTTGTATAGTATTCCAGACTTCTATTACTTTGTACCCATATAATCATATTTTTCTTCTAATTTAGGTGTTAGAATTTTAGAATGTTACCTAAGAAACATTTATCATGGGTGAGAAAAGAAAACGAATATATTGCTTTTTTAATCTACATTGTTTCTCGATAATTATCATACATCTACAAATATATTGCTTAATCTACATTGTTCCTCGATAATTATCAAACATGTTAAATTAAAAATATGTTATTGAATTTGCTTTCGTTTTACAAGTAAAATTAGCGTCTATATATTATAAGATTTTATACATGGTCAAGAGGGGCCGTTGCGACGAGATGGCCAGAGGGCCCTTAAAATCCTAGGACCGGCACTGATTAAAGCATATTCACAGCAAATTAGTGTCATCTTAATAACTTGATGGAGACATGCACAAACGCCAAATTAAAATAAAAATGCGTGAAACATCCAAATATCAGCAACATGCAAAACAGTGGTCTATTCACCGCTATTTGTGCTCAGATTCATCATTTTATGACTGACAGGTATGTGTTTCATCTACAGTAGCATTCTTTTCCTTCCATAGTTTCTATTTGTCCCTATTGCAGTGACAGCATGTCTCTTTGCTAGAGTACGGGAGAAGTGAAGGGCACCAGCCATCAAAAGGCTACTCTGGTCGTACAATGGCTCAAAAGTCCCTCCTTGCGTTTTTCTCTCGAACATGCAGCAGTAAGAAGAAAATTAGGATTTGTTATGGTTTTCTTTAGGTTACATTCGCACCTTTTGAATAGATAGACAGACATAGCCTTAAACTACCTAGCTAGGTCGAAGCATCCGTCCTTTGGCATTGGCGCAGCACCAAGCCCCCCCTTCCGTTAATATAACAGCAGTAAATATTTGGCAGGGGGAAGCCCTAACCAACAGACTCGACCTCAGCCAACTTTACATCCTTCACCAATTAATTGGCTCAGAATGTACATCATATTTTATTTCTTCCGTGTCATTACAAAATTTGTCTTAATGTGCTTAGCAGAATTTAAAAAAAAATGTGTATATTTCTATATGTGGATTTACAACAGATTTGAAGCAAAAATACATATCATATTTCACCATCGCACAATAATAGTGTCTGCCAGTGTACAATTTGGCAAATTATTGGGAACACGCCAAATACCACTTGGAATCCGATGGTGGGTGTCGGAATCCAACATGGCCGACTTGGCCAAAAAAAAAGAAAGGACACGGCTAAATGGGTATCTAGTAACACTGATGGCTATGCAATCATCTGGATTTTAGCGACTTGTGAAACTTTTCAGAATCCAGACGTCCATCGAGTTTTCTTTCCACAATTGTTTATGGAGCAGGAAGGGCGGGCCTGGTGCAAGCGGTAGAGTCTTACCGCCTGTGACCGGAAGGTCCCGGGTTCGAGTCGCGGTCTCCTCGCATTGCACAGGCGAGGGTAAGGCTTGCCACTGACACCCTTCCCCAAACCCCGCGCAGAGCAGGAGCTCTCTGCAATGGGTACGCCCTTAATTGTTTATGGAGCAGATCAAATTGAAATAGCATTTAAAACCTTAAAGCTTCTAACCTTAACACCAGTTTTTTTTTAAAAAAAAAAATTAACACCAGTACCAAGGTTGATCATATTCCTAATACAAATTAAAGAACAACTTCAGTCAATTGATATAAACTGTAAGAAACCAAATTCATTCTTAACGTCAGCAATTCAGTACATGACAAAAAATAAAGCTACATTAGCCAGATAAACTCTTGAATATGTACATCAATCATATAATTTTGGACAGTGTAATGACAACAGAATACGTTACCATAGCATGCATGCACATGCATTGGTGCAGGCCAAGTACGTAGCGTAAACTGGTACAAACCGCTGTGAAGACATTTGCTATTGTTTATACAGGAAACAAGTTAACAACTACATCTAAACTTTCCAGTAATGCAAAAAAAAAAAGTACAATCCTATATCAAATCACCTGCAGAGAATCATGCAAATTTTAATGCAGTTCTTTGAGTGCCAAAGACAAGAAGTACTGTTTATCCCTCAGAAACCCCTTTCCCATCTGACAGAGATGATTATGAATGCAGGAGGTTGCCTAAGTACCATTAGGATTGGAATAGGATTGCATCATCTATGTTCAAGGAGAGAGTCTCGAATCATGCAATCACTTGATAAGCATTCCTTCACATGACTGGGATGATGCATTGACTACCTAACTTTCTTTTATTCTATATATAAGTTAAACCCTGCTAATTTGTCTGCTTCAAGTAACTCTCTTCGTTGTTAGCAAATCCATAACCTAGAATCTTCGACTAGACTAGAAGGCAGTCGACGACTCCAAACAGCAATGCTCGAGCAAAAATCCCCTAATTTCTAAGCAGCGATCTTAACAGACAACCAACTTGTAACCGAGTCCACGGAAGAAGCTGTGATCTACGCATCGGTCGATCTAACCGAGCTCAAGAAACCTAAAAGGATAATCTCCATGAAGCCTGGACCTGGAGGAGGCCTGGACTAACCTGGATGCTGAAATCGCCGCCGAGGGCGACGTTGTGGGATCCCTCGCCCTCGGCGAAGAAGTCCCCTGCGGCAGGGTTGGCCGCGCCGGGGCTTCGGGAGCCCTCGAGCATCACCAGGCGCTCCCGCTGATCGAGGTCGGCGGCGAGCGCAGCGAGGTCGAACTCGGAGAAGAAGGGGCCCTGCAGGGCGGTGTTAACGCAGTGCACGGCGCAGAGCTTCCCCTCCTGAACCTCGTGGTACAGCAGCCCGCCGTTGCTCGCCACCTCCATCGCGCCGCTCCAAAACCTTGCAGAAGCCCCTCCCTACGATGCGGTGCGATTCGGCACTTCGCCGCCTCGAGCCCTCGATGTATCACAGATTCAAGCCAGGATCGATGAGGAGATAAACGAAAACGGCCGACGGGGGAAAGGGAAGGCGGAGGGGAGGAGTGTGAGTGCTTTTTGCGTGGGTCGGGTCCGTATCGGGTGATGACGCAGATTCCCAGCGCAAAACCATCAAACAGCCCTGACACAAGGACACGTAGACCGGTACGCGACCTGAAAAGGCCAGCCTGGCAACGACGTGTTTTTTTAATGATGCGATATAAGTTGACACGTAAACGATAAACATGTACCACGTTTAACATCAAAATTTCAATGCAATAAAAGAATCATGGAAATTTTTATGAAAATGATGCAATATAAGTTGAAAACGATTATATTCATAATATAATGTCTATTTTTATTCTGTGTGATAAACCAAGACACTTTCAACCCCCGACCCTTTGTGCGTGTTGTTCCAAACCGCCATCGGTAGCTCAGTGGCCAGATCATATTTTCCTCCTAAACTAAGGACCAATGGCACTGTAGGCTGTAACATATAACCATTCAAAAGAAGTAGAGCCTCACGAAGGACTTACGGTGACGTACTTTACCTGCAGGGCGCCATTCCCTAAGATTTTAATTTTAATAAGACTAACATGCTAGAGGGTTTTCCTGATAATCTGGTGGAGTATCCTAGAAGAACAGTTGCTGCCATCTTACAGCCTGTTCGGTTGGCTGATTCGTTTCATTGCTGATTCATGAAGAAGTACTGTTCTGACTGAAAATTTACGATCATTTACGACAAGCCACGGCCAAACGAACAGGCTTTAGTGGTCAAACAAAAAAAATAAAACTCACACATCGGTTCATCCTTCGAGACGTAGCTCAAACAAAAGAAGGAAAAGGAGAGTACATGGGGCTCATTCAAACAATTATACAAGCATCATGCCAATGTAAGACTGAAAACCACTCTGCGAGCTGATACTTGAGCCAAACCTGAATTATCGTGGTATTGGTATGCACTCAAATTAGGGCCTCAAATTATTGTGGCACTATCCGCCCTGCCCCCCTAGGTAAGCAACCATCATCACGTCAATGGTAACAAATTTTGGATTGTGCATGGTGGAAGCATAGTAGAAGAGCTATACCTCGAAGAAGATGGCCACCCTCCACTGACGACAGGATAGATGGTGGAGTCACCGATCCATCCGTCCCCATACCAACTATCCACACATTGTCAACAGGGTAGATAGAGCCTCCAAATGCACTAAGGTTGTGGATGGAGCGAGGCAGTCGGGGGCTATTGTTGCCGAGCTAGGACGAGCGGCGGTGTGAAATGCAATCGCATATGGAAGGCATGGATCGAGTAGAACCGACACATGCGCGAGAGGAGAGCGGGCTTGCTGCCTGCGCCGCTCGTAGCCAGGTGGAATCGCAGGAGCAAAGACGAGCGGGGACTGGACAGAGCAAAAGGGGGCGATACACCAAGTGTGCCGGGTAGTCTTCCTTTGGGCTTTTTTAGGTGTAGATAGTAGAGACAAAAAAGTGACAGGACGAATCCACCTTTGTACATTTTTGCCAAGCGGAACAAGATATTCGGGTCGTTCCGCTGTAACGAAGGAGATTTAATAAAGCAAGCTAATCAGGATGCTGATCCAAATTCTCTTAAAAATATTTAGAATTTACTTTATTTTCTTAGAAAACAATTCTATAATTAGATCAAAATCATTTCATATGACCGTTTAGCTAATAAAATAAAATTCAATTACAAATTATTTTTAAAAATCATTTGAATAAAAATTTAAAAAAATTATGGGTGAAAAGGCATTCTTAACTTTGCACAGTTGCTAATGCACAAAAGAGGAAAGAAATGAATACTCCTCGCTACTGAAATGACTAAACAGCTCCTCACCAACCGACGCCCTATGCAACTACTAGTACAGGGGTGTTTGAGACGGCTCCGTTTCATCGTCCTGTTCGTTTGGTTAATAAGCCATACCATTTTAGTCAACGAATAATATTTTTTTCTCTTACAATAAATAAGTCAACAATACTTTCAGCCATAGCTTATTAGCTAAGCGAATAAGGCACATGTTTTTCAGTTCCGCTTCACGTTTTTAGCCAAATGGTTTCAGCTCCATACACTCTGTTGCGAAAAAAAATGGAATTGTGAGAGCACCTAAAGAGATATTCCATGAACTTCAGTTTTTTTTTTTTTGAGCTGCTCCTACAAACGCAGCCTTCCCGCAAGCTCTGTCCCTCCTCCCTGCGCAGGAGTTGGGAGCTGCTCGGCTGATGCCGTCGCAACAGCGGCGTCCTTAACTCCCGATTCGCGTCGTGACAAATGGACATGAACCGCATCAGTTAACAATCAGCAGAAGCTCTGTTTCATTGGTCCCATTCGTTTCGCTGAAAAAATAAACCGAAATATTGTTCCAGTTAATTTATTGTGATAAAAAATAGTGTTTGGTTAAAAAAACAAGTTGAAAAGTACGGATTATAAGACAAGCGTGTTCGGCTGCTCAGGTTCCAGCTTATTTCAGCTTATTCTCCAAACACTATTGAATCATCCGAAATAATCCACTGTTCAACGGATCAGCCGATCAGAGCCATGTGCCATCACATAACCTTAGCCGCTTTACAGTGCTCCTTTTGCCGGATCAATTAAATTCCCCATCTCGTTTGAGGCCTACTTTCGTGCAAGCCAGGCGTCGTGGTCCAAACGCGGATCGGCGGTGCCGACGGCGGGGAAACCCCCACGCTATTACGCCCGAGCGAGATCGCTATCCGTGGCCGTCTTCGTTCCCATCCCACACCCTACTCCTCGGTCGTCACTCGTCAAGTCGTCACACCCCCCCCCCCACCACCCAAACTTCCGAAACCTCCTTGGAACCAAGCAGAAGATGTCAGACTCCGCCGCGGGCGACGCGGTGTTCGAGCGGTGCCTGCTCGTGCTGTACCTCATCAGCCCGCTCACTGTGCTGGCGCTCCGCTTCATCTCCGCGCCGTACGGCAAGCTCTCCCGCCCGGGCTGGGGCCCCGTCCTCCCGGCCCCGCTGGCGTGGTTCCTCATGGAGAGCCCCACCCTCTGGCTCCCGCCGCTCGTCCTCCTCCGCTCGCCGCCGCCGCTCTCAAGCCCGATCGCCGCCCTCCCCGCCGCGCTCTACGCGTTCCACTACGTCCACCGCACGCTGGTCCACCCGCTCCGCCTCGCCCGCCTGCACCGCGCCCCGGCCCCCGTGCCTCTCCTCATCGCCGCCTGCGCCTTCGGCTTTAATCTCCTCAACGCCTACGTACAGACCCGCTCCTTCGCGCTCCATGCCGGCCGCCCGGCGTCCCCCGCCCGCTGCCTCGCCGGGCTGGCCCTCTTCGCGTGGGGGATGCGGACGAACATCGCGGCGGACAAGGAGCTGCTGCGGCTCAAGGAGGCCGGAGGCGGGTACAAGATCCCGAGGGGCGGGTGGTTCGACCTGGTCACCAGCCCCAATTACTTCGGCGAGACGGTGGAGTGGCTGGGCTTCGCGGTGGTGGCGTGGACGCCCGCGGCGTGGGCGTTCTTCCTCTACACCTGCGCCAACCTCGGGCCGAGGGCCAGGGACCACCGCCGCTGGTACGTACAGAAGTTCGGCGGCGAGTACCCGGCGTCGCGCAAGGCGTTCATCCCCTACATCTACTAGGTGAATTGGTGATGTATGTACTCTAATAAAAAAATCAAATGCTGTGCAATGGAAATGTGAATTTATTTAACCAAAGATTTTCGGCCGGTACAAAAATTCCTAATGGAGATGACAATGTTTCGAAAATTTTGGCGAATGTCTTGGGCATATTGAGATGTAATTGCCTCTCTGTTGTGCGAGAACGTAGCGTGTGCAATGACAGCACGAGCGTGCGAATCATCGGAACTCCGGAAACCATAATGTGCCCTACGTATCGTTCCGATTTCATATGCTGGCGTTTAATTTTATTTTAAACCATAGCAATTACTAGTAGATTTTCAGCTTTGTCTCGAATTTTGCTTAGGAGTCAGTTGCTGCAACCAATGTAGCATACATTCATGAATTTGTCTGGTCCGTGAATCGAACCATACTAGTATATTGCAAAACACATTTTCCTTCAGATGCAAACGATTTACATAAGTTGAGATACGCCTAATAGTTGAGATCAAAGACAATTGTGTAATTATAAAAAAAAAACACTGCCACCTTCAATTCGGCGACAAATAGGCTAACCTAACAACCTAAACTTCAAGCAATACACGCCTTAATTTGGCCTTCTCCCGGACCTCCTAGCTAGCAAGCTTCCAATTGTCCTACCTGGAACCAAAGACGCTGCCACCGTTGGTCGCAGAGTCCGACTGATGTTGCTCGCGTTCCTTCCTTGACGATTCCACCATGCTCTGCATTGCCGGCGTCGCGAACCTAGACCCAAAATTCGGCGCCGGCGCCGCTGTGCCGAAAGATGAACACCCGAACGGACTAGTTAGTACTTGCTGAGGCACACCCCCGAACGGATTAATTGCTGCTTGCTGAGGTACACACGCGAACAGACTAGTTGCTGCTTGCTGAGGCTGAAACCCGAACATAGGAGTAGTTGCTTGTGGTGCCGCACCCGTCCCTCCGAACGAAGTCGACGAACTGTTGGAGACTGGAGGCGATGCCCCTGGTGGGCCTCGGCGGGCACCGCATGTTGGCTGCTGGAACGAGAACGGGGATCCCGCCGATGCTCCGTACGGAGATCCTGTCGTCTGTGTCCCGAACGCCGGCGCCGCCGACCAGAATAGCTGCACCGTGGACGCCCGCTGCTGCGCGTGGGAGCTCATGCCAGCAAGCAGGCACGCGCGCCCCGTCTGCTCGTACGCCCGCCGGTTCGCCACGCGAGCGCTCAGCTCGCGCAGCTCCGCCACCAGCTCCGCGCACCTCTCGTCGCCCGCCAGCCCCGCGGCCGCCGAGGCCTCCTGCCGACGGTCCAGTATCTGCGCCGCCTTCGCGTGCTCACCGCGATCCGCAGCGGCCCGCGCCGCCTCGATGTCCTCGGCAGCCTCCACGCGGAAGCCCTCCCGCGCGACCTCCACGCACGGCTCCATGTCCGTCACCACCACCGGCCTCTGCACCGTTGCGTCCTTGCAGGAAACGTCCACCGACCGCCCGGTTGCCGCGTCCTTGTAAGTGCAGCTCACTTTGATCAGGCGGGTCACGCTGCCGTCGTCAGCGCCGTCCCCGGCGGCGACGGGCATGTCCAGGAACAGTAGGAAGCGCCTCTCCTCGTCCGCGTATAGCTCGCCGACGTCCACTGACGCGGCGCGGCCACCCACGTCGATGAGGCTGTCGTAGCGGCCCGACTTGACCGTCCGGACGCGCACGCCTGGGTGCAGGCACTCCACGGCGACGCGGGCTTCCTGCGCCGTGACTGAGAGGAGCCCGCCGATGCACTGCGCGAATGAATCCTGCACCACCGCCTGGTTCTCGATGAAGGAGAACGTGCCGCCTGTCACCTCCGCGATGGCGTGCATCGCCGCTGCGTCGTGGTCCGTGCCGAACCCGAACGTATGAACCGGTGGGCACTGGCTGCCGTTGCTGCGCCTCAGGGACCGTGGCACAAGGTCGTTGTAGCTCTTGGAAGGACCTTGAGGTCCGTAGAAGCGAAGAGTATGGTTGTCGTGGCCATCCGACAGAAGGATAACGCTCGCGACAGTGTTCCTGTGACGGCGGCCGTCGAGCACCTCGGAAGCCACACGAAGACCGCCTCCAATGTTCGTGCCGCCATCGGCGAAAAGGGACTCCACGGCGGCCTTGGCCGAGGCCTTCCCATCGTCCGACATCCGTGTCAGCCGGATGACGCGGCGAGCCTCGGACGAGAAGGACACAATGCTGAGCCGGTCGCCGGGGCCGAGGTGGTCGATGACGAAGCGCATGGCCTGCTTCAGCAGCGCCAGCTTGGAGCCACCCATGCTGCCGCTGACGTCGAGTACCGTGACGAGATCGAGGGACGCACGCGCCGACGCCTCGGCGGTCACGGGAGGTCCCTTGGCGTGCACCAGCACCGCGAAGGTATCTCGGGCCGTGTCTCTCGCGACAGCCGAGTGCTCGCAGTGCGTTTTGAGCTCGAGTACTCCATTGTTCGTCGCTTCCTGGACAACTTCCCAGCCATCGAGAGGCGACGGCTCCACCGGCTCGTCGTCATTGAACACCGGTCGCGCCATGTCCGCCGACTCCGGTCGGGGCCCGAAAGATTGCGGCAAGGGGGTGAACGGCTGGAACATGGGCGGTTGTGAAGGCGAGGAAAAGGGGTGGGGCGACGGCGATGGGGACGAAGCCACGGACACACCGTCGCGCCATCGGAGCATGGGCGGTTGTGGCGGCGAGGAAAAGGGGTGGAGCGACGGCGACGGGGACGACGCCACGGACACATCGTCGCGCCAACGTGCGCTGCAGACAGGGCAGACGCTGCCAGATATGCAACGGAGGTGGAATGTATGGTTGCACTCGGATATGACGGTGGCCTGGCCGCGGAACATGGCGACGTGGCAGACTGCGCACGACAGCGTCTGCGTTGCTGGCGGTGCGGAGTCGGGCGTCGCCGGTGCCTGCTGTCCAAACAGGCTCCTCCCGACAGATAGCGACGACGATGGAGATGCCGTCTGCGCTCCAGAGAAGCTGAAAGAGGAGTTCTGAGTAGTCGACGGCCACGGCTGCCCAAACAGGCTTGTCTTGGATGAGGAGTCCGCCGCCGCCGCGGCCGACTGTCCAAACAGGCCCGTCGACGATGGCGGAGGCGACGCGAAGGAGAACGGGGTGGCCGGCGCAGGGGCGGGGGCCGTGGCCGGCGTGTTGCTCCACTGCGCGGCGCAGATCGGGCATGTAGCGCTCCCGGAGACACAGCGGAGGTGGAACGTGTGGGCGCACTCCGACGTGAAGATCGCCTGCCAGAGGCCAATGTCGCCGCGGCAGGCGTCGCACTGGCCGCTGCTCTTTCTCGCCATGATTGTCAACGAAACGTGTCTATCCTGTTTTTTATTTTGATCTCACGGTGCCCACCTCCCGTTCTCGCGCGTATTTATAGGCTGGGAAACGTGTAGCGTGGAGACGACGCAGGCGGAGTACGCGCCGGCAAGTCGGCAGCGCGAAGGTTTCCTTCGTCTGTTCCTCGGTCGCGTGGAAGTGCAGCAGTTCAGGCGGTCTCCGCTTCAGTTTGTAACTTTTCTCTATATAATTTGTTTTGGCTTTTTTTTTTTGAGCAATTGGCTCCATTGAGCAACTTCTTTAATCAAATCTTCAAATATTGCATATATGTTATTATTCTTGTAGACAAATATGGAGAGCAAGAATAACTTTTCCAAAATACGCACAAGATTAAAAAAACTGTTGGAATATGAAAAATATATATATATAGAAACCCTTTTCTCATCTCCAATAGTTCCAAACAAATAATTGGTAAATCAATAAATTTTACAAATGTCTAATAAAGTTGCTTGGATTTCTCCAACAGTTTTTAAAATCTCGCTCCTAAAATATATAAAAGACAATTTTGCGTCAGGAATTCTCGACTATTTTCAATCACCCTAACTACTTTTATACTTTTCTTCTCTTTTGAAAATCTATATTGTACCTATTCTACTTTTTGTTCTTTCCCACGTCCTTTCACATTTAGATTGGCCTATCGATAAGTGCGTCTATATTTTCGCACGATGGAGAGTTGGTTTTCCCAAGGCGGAAAGATTGAGAGAGTTGAGGTAGGGAAGTATGTTTTTGGAAACTCTTGGAAACGAGTATTTGGGACATGCATATACAAGAACACAGACTGAATCATTTGTAACACGATTAAAAAGTTTAGCTAGCAAGATGACTTGTATGTCGTTATATGTTGAAATGAATAGGTAGAATCAACTTGCGCTATGGTCCAATCATATACTGCCATCTTGTGTTCATATGTTGCGTCCCCATATGTCCCGCTAAGACTGTCTCCAACAGAGCATGCAAACCGTGACCCAAACGCAAAATAGGTCATTCACACTATTTTGCCTACCAAAAACAATGCTCCAACGGAAGACCCAAACACCTCACCCATTTTGCATCCGAGGCTTGCCGAAACGCAAATATGCGTCGTCGAGAGAGACTGACGCAAATCTCTTGCGTCGTAGTGGTGGGCCCGTAGGAGCGGGGCGCGGCGAGGCGGACAACAAGGGAGTCGTGGCGAGGTCCGGGCTTTGGGGTGCGGCCAATGGTACTGCATGGGCAGGCGGAGCAGGGCTTCGTCGGCGGGGAGCAGGACGCGGCCGTCGAGGAGCGGGGATCCGAGGTCCTCCTCGCCCGTGACCGCCGGATCCGGGAGGGAGGGGTGCCGCCGCCGGCAGGATCCGGGAGGGAGGGACGCCGTGCTCAACGAGGAGGGAGAGTGGGACCGGCGCGGGGGAGAGAGAGTGAGGAGAGAGGGACGGGCGGCGCCGGGGTAGAGAGTGAGAGAGGGACCGGAACAGGCGGTGGGGGGAGTGAGGAGAGAGCGATGGGCGGCGCCGGGGTGGAGAGGGAGAAATCGGGAACGAGTGGCACGGGGGAGAGAGAGAGTGAGGAGAGAAGCGGGCAGGCGCTTGGGGTAGAGAGGGAGAGAGGGACGGAAGCAGGCGGGCTGGGGGGGGGGGGAGAGGAGGAGAGAGCGCAGGCGGCGCTGGGTAGAGAGGGAGAGAGGGACGGGAGCAGGGCGTGTGGGAGAGAGAGAGAGAGAGAGAGACGAGCAGGCCTGGAGAGAGAGAGAGGGAGAGAGGGACAGGGAGCAGTGGGTGGGGGGAGAGAGTGAGGAGAGAGGGACGGGTGGTGCCAGGTAGAGAGGGAGAGAGGGACGGGAACGGGCGGTGCGGGGGAGAGAGAGTGAGGAGAGAGGGACGAGTGGCGCCGGGTAGAGAGGGAGAGAGGGATGGGAACGGGCAGCGTGGGAGAGAGAGAGTGAGGAGAGAGGGATGAGCTTTTGGGTATGCTGTTAGAGAATGCGAGTTTTGGGTGCGTGACTCTTTTGCTACGTGTGACCCAAACTATGGAATGAGTCTTTGATTTGGGTCTGTGCTGTTGAAGATAGGCGCAGACCCTAAATTTTCTAGTTGCCGGAAGGCGAAAGCTCAGTCCTGAAGGAAAAAAATTCTCTGCATTCGTGAGGTAGCAAAACTCCTATGCTAGCTAAACTTTTCAATCATGTCATGAAATAGTGAGGACCTCAGGCATTGTGCATCTATTTACAATCAACACAACTATTCACTTCGGTCACTTCCACTATTCACAAGCTACTGTTTATTCTCATTGTTTAATACTTTCCATATCTGTTAAATTTTCGTCTGCGCGTCAGATATTCAGACTTCCTTCCTGAAAACAATTTAAGGAGACTTCCATATCTGTCAATTTTCTGTCTGCACGTCAGATATCCAGATTTAAGACCTTCCTGCAAACAAAACAATTTAAGGAAACGAACAAGGTATTCCCATGGAAACACCTGGGTGGGTAAGAATGTGAGATGTTGGCACACCCGCCGACAGTCCAAAACATCAGCACTCATGAATAAATCAAAAACAATCATGTGGAGTTTGGGCACTGCTGACTTTGGAGGAAGGAACATCCATTTTTATAGCACATCATGGCGACGAATATCATAATGAATTATTTTATTTCAGGATGAAATAATCCAACACAGATCAACAGGATCTTGTTTCATAAGATATAAGGAAAAAAAGAACAAAAAAGAAGTTTGCATATAGCATGCACTTCAAAATAGACAGCGCGGTAGAACAAGCTTCGTGCCCCGTTCCATGCCTACAACGGAAGTTGGCGTCAAGCACCGTGGGTCGGGCCTGGTGCAAGCGGTAGAGTCTTACCGCCTGTGACCGGAAGGTCCCAGATTCGAGTCGCGGTCTCCTCGCATTGCACAGGCGAGGGTAAGGCTTAGCCACTAACACCCTTCCCCGGACCCTGCACAGAGCGAGAGCTCTCTGTACTGGTACGCCCTTTTATTATTGTAGCATCCGAAGAAACTACGCTTGATGTTGAATCACATCCCCCTCGTTCACGCAACAGGGCTAGCCTTGATGCCCCATATCTCCTTGGCATACTGGGCGATGGTGCGATCGCTGCTGAATTTGCCACTCCCAGCTGTGTTCAAGATGGACATCTTGGTCCACTTCTTCTTATCCCTGTCATGTAACCAAGCATTCAGTTTGTGATATGAAACTATCAAAGGCAGAGGGAAAAGGAGAATATCTTGCTTGTGTCGGCGATATGATCACTATATGTGGGGGAAAAAAGGAAATAGAAACAGTAACACTGCTGCATTTAATGGTGACTAGTATGAATATAACACAGTAACTAATATGAAGGCACAAGTAATGGTGACTGCAGAGGACCATGGTTGTTCTGTTCATGAGCTTGCAGGTGAGCTTAATGAGAAAGTATATTGTTAGTGTTCTTACTTGTAGGCTGCGTCCACCCGGTCCTGTGCATCAATGTAGCTTGGGAAGTCATAGCCAACAAGGAAATAATCACCACGCCCAAATCCAGAATTCCCTTCAAGGGAATCCAAGAGAGGTTCATAGTCATAGCTACCAAAAGCGCCACTTCTTATAAGCTGCTTGGCTTCTTCGAAACGTGGGTCTGGTTTGAACTGTCATATTGTAAGAAATAAGTCAATAATAGCACATCTACTTATAAGAAATACGATTTGAATAAAAAGTTTAACAGTGAAGTTTAGTTGTAGCTATCTTACCAGGCCATTTTCTCTGTCCTTCCTCAGCTCAGCAATCTGATCAGCTTTGGCACCGAAAAGGAAGAAATTATCTTCTCCTACCTCCTCTCTTATTTCAACATTAGCTCCATCAAGGGTGCCAATGATAACGCAACCATTCAGAGAGAATTTCATGTTGCTTGTTCCACTTGCTTCCATACCAGCGGTACTAATATGCTGTGACAATTCACTACCAGGAATAAGCACTTCAGCCACTGATACATTGTAATTCGGGATAAAGACAACCTGGCAGGAAAGGGAGAGGAGCACTTTAAATAAATGATATGGACCATCATGTATGTAGTAGTATAGAAAAAGGGTTACTCTTTTTTATGGATCACAAATACAAATTGATGTTTCTGAAGGGTTCTAAGAACAATCTGCCATAATATCTGATAATACACTGAAAAGCTCATACCTTCAGATATTTGTTAACTTCAGGATCATTGTTCACAACAGCACCAACATCATTTACCAATTTCACTATTCTTTTGGCATTAGTGTATGTTGCAAACGCTTTCCCTCCTAGCATGACAGTGCGTGGTGTAACCTTCTGCCTCTCTTCTGCACTCATTTCCTACAAGATTCATAGGCCTTTTCAAGACTAGAACAGGGTATATCGAAACATATATGAACTAAAGAATTTAGCTCAATATGGTAAAACCAAAATGGTACAAGCACCACTTCAAGAAAGGATGCAGGCAACTCAAAGAAACATACCTTTAATTTTTTGTATCTGTAAACAGCTCCCAATATGTTTAGGAGCTGTCTCTTGTACTCATGTATGCGCTTAATCTGTATATCGAAAAGGCTAGTTGGATCAATCGTAACACCTGTCACATCCAACACATGTTTGGCTAGGCGCTTCTTGCAAGATAACTTGGCTGCTGCCCACTCAGCATGAAGCTTTTCATCATCTGCAAACTGTTGAAGGTTTTCAGTTATACTGTGATAGAGCAATGACAAGCAGATGCAAGGTTAGAAGCATTCGCACATACTTTGCGAAGTCCAGTAAGCAGATCAAGATTACTTGTCCACTGATCTGACTTTAGCCATTTTGTGACTATTTCACTCAACTCAGGGTTACAAAACCGGAGCCATCTTCGAGGCGTGATTCCATTAGTTTTGTTTTGGAATTTGGTAGGCCATATAGAGACATAATCTGCAAATAGTTCTTGCTTCAAAATGTTGCTATGCAACTCAGCCACTCCATTCACCTGTCAGAAAAAAATGAATACGCTTCAGGACATTAAATAGAGCAGTAGAAAATGGAGAATCTGGAACTACTTGGAGCACATTGAGGTTATGCCAACAATTTATGAATTTTTACATCTTAAATGAATTATAAACATGAAGAGGAGGGCAGCAAATCCAATATAGTAGAGAGCTGATCTTAGTACTTCATATTGCTCATAGTGACATAAACAGCTATAAACATGATCATGGAATCAAAAGGGCTGTATTTACCGTATGAGAAGACACCACACACAAATTTGCCATGCGCACTACAGGCTTCTGGGGATTCAAGCTATCTAAAACTTTCATTGAATCGATCTTTCCCTCCATTTCCTTATGTTTGGAGATTACCAATTCTCTGAACTGCAAACCAGTGGCACAACTTGTGAGCTTGTGCAATGACTGCAGTGCATAGAAAAAGTAAATGTGGCATGAAAATTACCCGTTTGTCAATTTCCTCAATAATTTCCATGTGTCGTGGAAGTAATTTCCTCATCACAATTTGTGACCATTTTTCAAGAGCTTCGGGAAGAACTGTATGATTGGTGTAGGAAATTGTCCTGGACCACAGATTATAATTTTGTAATTAGTTCAAGTAAGAACATCTCTAGAAGTTTGATGGAGCTTAAAATATTGGTCGAAAAAGATTTATAGATCAATTATATAAATTGAACCTCACCTATATGTGATGTCCCAAGCTTCATCCCAACCAAGTCCCTCCTCATCCATAAGTAACCTCATTAGCTCAGGGATGGCAAGAGTAGGGTGGGTGTCATTCAGTTGAACAGCAACTTTAGTAGGGAACTCACTCCACTTCCCTGAAACTCTGTCAGATTTCCTTTCTTTAAATCTGGCAATCATATCCTGGAAATAACCCATTTTCAGTTATGCTCATCAATAATCGTCACAGAGATATTTTTTAAGATATTGATAAATCTTTAACAAACTAGAACCATAAAAGGCACACTGCAACTAAAAGAAAACAGGATAAATGATCTAAATCTCATTATCCTAGTACAATTTGAAAACAGTTCAGGTGGTGGTGCATATACTAGAGGTAACATGATTGATCCTGATATATTGATGGTTCAAACAATACAAGAAAATTACAACATTGTGTTTGCAATTATCTCATAAATCATTGCCAAACATATAGAAAAGCACAAGGTGGGCATACATGCCTGGTCCTTTTATTGGAACCTTGCTCAAGTGAAATGAATTGATTAACTACCTGAAGTGATGCACTGCAAAGGAAAAACTGCTGCTTCAGCCTTAGAAGCTTTCCTTCTTCTGTAGCATCACCGGGATAAAGAACGGCACATATCTGCAATGTGATACTCAAAGACGTAAGTCTCTTTTCTAGATAGAACTAGTACCATGAAGGAATAAGTTACAGGTTTAAGCATGCAATATCATCAGTCAATAAAAATATTCCAGTAAGTAAAGGCATCGCTCTTTATTTAGTCTTTGGAAATGAATCTTATGAATAGCTGATAGTTTCACTCTAGAATGAAATATCACCTGTTGGGCTCTAGCATGAAGTTGGGCAGCTGACTCATATTGACCATCATTGAATTGAAATAAGTTGAAATCTTCAGCAGTAGCTTTTGCTTCCCAAAGACGAAGGCTGATTGCATTTTTTGTCTTGTATCCAGGGATTGGCACATCATATGCTAAAGCCTTCAGGACTTCTCCTCCGACCCATTTCCGACTATCACACGACAAAGAAAGCAATCATATGATGAGTTACATCAAGGCCCTCAAATAACCACCCATAACATGAAATAAATAACAAAAGAAAAAAAAGTCAGGGAGAAGGATCTACGAAGATCTAGGTAAGTTAAATGTAATGGATTTATCATTGAAGTATAAGCAAATCCGCCAAACCCAAACTTAGTTTGTGGTTCAGACATTTAAAATTCATATTAGCGAAGCTTTTGGATTACACAAAAAAATAAGGCATCCACATTACACCTCATAGTTGCAGTTTTTTAGTTCTGGAAGCTGGAGGGTAAAAAAGAGATAAATGAATATTTCTTAGAACTAGAAGTTTAGAATGGTTCAACCAAGCTAACGAAGGAATGTGATTCTCTTTTTTATCTAGACTAGAAAGTATGAGAAGCCTTAAAAACTTCAAATTTAACTAAATGCAGCAAAAATAAATTTCGTCAAACAAAAAATGTGTTGTTCATATTATACTCACGAGCCATCAGGCAAAATCTCAACATGGCCGAAAAATCTGACAGGGAACACCACATCATGCCTGGGAATCTCCCAGGGGCTGAATTTCTGAAGGAAAAAATGGAGAACTTGTTATAGAGGTCTAGAAAAAAATATCAACAGAATTATACGTGCATTTTTGGTTCATACATCAAGCCAATCTTCTGCAATTTCTTCCTGGCCCTCCTTGGCAATGTGTTGTTTGAACAGTCCATATCGGTAACGCAGGCCATAGCCCCAAGCAGGCAAATTCAATGTTGCCATTGAATCCAAAAAGCAAGATGCAAGCCTACCCAAGCCACCATTTCCTAGAGCTGCATCTTTTTCCTGAGAAAAATCAGTTAAATATTAATTTGCATCATAGGAAATTTATAAAATTCCAATTAGAAAGTAAAACTCAGATGCCATGAATCCGCACTTAAGTTCCTTGGCAACATTTAGGTTCATATATAAGTCAATTCTGCCAATCAAGCAGATAAAGAGAAAGCATGTCCTGTGTTGTTGATCCTGAAGCTTTTCAGTTTCAGATAATTCATTCAGCTTAAAACTCATTTTTCAGGTTTTCTTCACTTATGGTATGGGTATCACATTTCTCATGGACTAAAGCTACAGAACAGATATTTCGTAGTAATAAATGGGTAAAGTTGGCAAACAAGTTAAGTTTTTGCAGACACGGTTCAGATCTGAAACATGCAAAAGCTCTTCTCCGATCCATGTGAATTTATTCCCTTTTCCTGATTCAGTAAACTACGGAATCAAATCTATGCTATCCAGAGTCCAGACATCTCGGATGTTTCTTAAACAAGTGAGATAAAAGCCGTTAATGCCATCAGACAACGTCGAGCGCCATCTCATTTAAATAATCAGTGTCAAGTACTACTATAAGATAGCCTTAACAAATCATACTCCAATTTGTGGGTGGAGGCACTCTTAAGAGAGCTCACCTGTCCCGCGAGGGCCTCGAGCTCGTAGCCGAACTTCTTCACAGCCTCCGCGTAGGCCCCGGTGATGCCGAGGTTGCCAACGGCGTTGGTGAGCGCGCGGCCCTGCAGGTACTCCATGGACAGGTAGTACGTCTGCTTCGGATCCGTCTTGTGGAAATGCAAGTACGTCTCGTTCCATCTCTGTACGTGCGCGCGCGCGCGAGGGAAAAGCACACGGATCACACCTCCGCCTCAGTGCGGTGCAGACAGCAGCGAGGAAGGCTAAGGATCGGCTTTTGCGCGCGCGCTCTCACCTGGATGAGGTGGTCGCGGACGCTCTCAGCGGTGGCGTAGAAGGCCTGCTCCGGCCCGAACGCTGTTGGCGAGAAGTGGGGGTTGTACTGCGCGTGGTAGGAGATGTTGCCGGCGATGTCCGCGGGCTTCTCCGCCGACGGGCTCGCGGCCGGCTTCACCTTCTCGGCCGCGCCGCACTTGATCTCCGGCATGGCGGGCACCAGGCTGCGAGCGGTGGGGAATTGCGACGATCAGCTGGCGTGTGAGGAGGAGGCGATAAGGCGTCTCCGGGGCTCGGGCAAAGCACCGAGTGGGAGGGAGGGAGGGATGGATGGAATGGGAGCGAGCGAGGAGCTCTGGAAGCCCGGGGAGCCCTTTTCTAGGTGACGGGAGGGGTCACGTGAGGAGGGCGATGGATCCGATAAATTGGGCGAGACCATGAATATTTTTGGGAAAATGCAGAAGCGGAGATATTTTAGTTCGTGGAGGAAAGGGACAAAGGGCGGAGAAGATGAATGATCGTTTCTCCTGCTCTTTTGCTTGACAAGTGTATTTTTGGAGGCAACTGCTTCATGTATATTCTTAGAATCAAATATATATGCTGTGGCAGCGATAGAATTCTATGAATTGCCAGCTTGGATTTTTCATTGCAGAAGCTGAACGAACTGTGCCATGGTTCTTCTTCTTTTATATTCTTTTACTTTTAACAACAAAAGAATGTTATCGACTCATCGTCCAAGGCTCCAAGTGCAACAATATGCATGAATTGGATTGATGACCGCCTTTTTTTTATTTCTAAAATAAATTTACCGTAGCCTATGAGTGTTTATGAAGAAATTTCTAGTTTTGCGTGTCTGACCTTGATGGTGTGCTAAGAGGATACAAGGATTATACTGGTTCGGATAGAACGTCCCTACGTCTAGTCTGTTACTGCTCGTGTTACCGGCACTGTCTGTAGTAGGTGTTACAGATGGGCGAGAGAGAGGGCGAATCCTAGGTCTCTGGTGGAAGGATTGAAAAGTGCTGAGAGTTTGTTCAGCTGCTCAGCCGTGTGCTCGTGCCTATGTCCCCATTTTATAAAAGAATGGAAAGATGCAAGTTACATCAGAAAAAGAGAAGAGAGAGAGAAAGAGGGAGAGAATCATGGAGAAGAAGCCCTCTAGGACCGCTGCGTCCTTCTTCTCCTTCATGTGGATCCCACCGACGCTGTAGATGGTGACAGGGACGGCTCCACGTCGGCCTCCTGTTCACCACTGGTGCTATGCCTCGACGTCATCAGCTGGTCGTGGCGTTCCATCCCGTCCCAGCGGACGGCGTGGTGAACCGACATGCCTGTCAGCGGCTGTATGGGGATTAGGCAGCAAAGCGCCCACGCACCCGTCACTGTTGGCGATGCGAACCCCCGGGCATGGCCTGTCGTGGCCACAGGTCACGTCAAGGTGTGCCCGCGCCCCTTCTGGTGTCAGAGGCTTGACCCAGGCCCATACGCTTGGACCCATAGTGGTTGGGGTGGTACGGATCCCGCCGGGCGAGGCGGAGCCCACGCCCGAGGGATCAGGCGAGACGGAGCCCGTACCCTTAGGGTCGGGCGAGACAGCTCCCGTACCCTCGGGGTCGGGCGACATGGGGCTCGTGCCCGAGGGGTTTGGCGAGGCGGAAACCGTCCCTTCGGGGTCGGTCAAGACTGAAATACGTCCTTGATTATCTAGGCGAGTTGTCGTCTGCGGTCCTCAGATCTCTTCTTCGGGTATCCCTAATACTGATACCCGACAGTAGCCCCTGAGCCTGCGGAGGAGTAGGATATTCCTTCGTAGGCTTTTTTGGATGGAGGGACTTCGAGGGCTTCGATCTTCTGCTACCCGCGGGACGCCTTGGTGGGTTACGATCCCTTTCTGTTGCGACCGGACTTGTTTCGAGGGCGTGTAGCTGTGGGATTTCTTTGGGGACCTGAGAGGATTCTCCTTAATTCTAGCCCCTCTTAGGACCCTATCGATTCGCTGTTGTCACACGACCGCGTATTAGGTCTCTTCGCGAGTCCAATTCCTCTCCGAGCCCCCGCACGTTGCGGGGGTCCGATCGAGGGGTCGCCTCGTCTTGCAATCATTCTCCCTCAAGTGTTTTTCAACAAAATGAAGGGGTTGAGCCATGCCATATTTTCCTCAGTGGACGAACCATGGTGCTCGGTTAGCTGTTAACGGGTTGGTTCGAGTGGGGCCCTGGTGTCCCGTTCGCGGGGGTGCGGCATGGGTCAGCTGGTGGCCGACTCCAGATTCCTGATGGCCAGTCCATATAGTTCTTGGGTCTGTTCATCCTATCCCAAGGGCTCACTGCCTTTCTTTGAGAAAAAACCATGGACAACGCGCTAGCCAGGACTCGACCGTGGGCCGGGATGCTCGTAGCGCTCGTGCGCTTGGGTATTGGCCGCTAGCGGGCCATCTCTTTCCACCCCTCGCTCTAAAGGTGCCCTAGAGCGGTTGTGAACCCGTCGATGGGCCAACCTTCGAACTCGTGAACCGTAATGGGCCGTGGGAGCGTTTTTAGCCCCGTATCCCTTACTTACCTACGTTGGTTCTTGGCCGTCTTCGCTTTCCATGGAGTCATGGTACCGCTCCGACGTCACCTACGCATGCATGGAGGGCCTCATCAAGCACGGTCTTCTAAGCGAGAGGACCGACGTGATGGAGTGGCTAGTTCTCGGCCACGAGGAGGTGCCGATGCTGACCGACGGTTACATCGTCTCCTTCGTGCCCTTCCACAAGCGATCCCCCCTCATCCGTTCTTTCGGGGGCTGCTGCACCACTACCAGATCAAGCTGCGGCACCTCAACCCCAATGGGATCCAGCACATCGTGGCCTTCATCACGATGTGCGAGGGGTACCTAGGGATCGAACCGCACTTCGAGTTGTGGAGGTACTTCTTCGCCATCTCCCTGCATAGGAAGAAGGACAGAGGTAGGGAGATCCCGGTGTTGATGGGATGCGCTAGCATCCACCTCCTGGGGCAGCAGGTGGCCGAGTACATGCCCTACCAGCTGTCTAGATCCAACAAGGGGTGGCACGCGTAGTGGTTCTACTTGAAGAATGACCCCCCGCCCCCTTACCGGACTTCACCGCGCGCTTGATCGAAGAGGTGCCGCCGATGTGGCCGCAGGGGCCACCTGAGAAGGAAAAGAAGAGGATGTGCGACACCCTCGAGGCCGTCGTATCCCTGAGGAGCCACGACCTTCATGGGCCGGTGTCATTGGAGCATACCACGCGAGGAGGGTGGCATCACTGATGGCGCGCGCCCTCCCATTGTTCGGGATGATGCCGGTTGTGGAACTCGGCCGGATGGTGCTTGCCTAGGGGCCGCTTCGCAACAGCGAGATTGCGCAGCGTATCAAGGAGGCGACAAACAAGTTCGACGTTGTGTTTCCAATCCTGGGACATCCCGTGATGCGGTCGGAGCCGGGCTTTATCGAGCTACCGGTGAATTTGGGCTTTCGGGCCTCTATCGCGCCGCCATCGGAGCACGCGGCTATGAGGGCAACGAACCATGTCGCAGATGAGCGGAGGAAGAAGGATAAGGATGACAAGGAAAAGAAACGACGGGTGAAGGAGCGAGCGAAGCTGCTGCGAGGGAAGTGGCACCAAGGCTCATCAGAGGAGGAAGATGAGGAGGAAGAAGATGAGGAGGAGGAGGACGACGACGACGGCTCTGGGTCGCCCATCCCATGGGATGATCTGGTCGGCGGGGATGACCCGGCTTCGCCACAGGTGGGGCCCTTCCCGTGGCATCTCTTGGAGCAAGAGGGGGAGGACACACCCTCGAAGACGGCAGGAGCGAGCCGCCCTGCTCCATCTGGGCCTTCTACGGCGTCCCCAGAGCCAAGGGGAGCTAGCAGCTCCGCCTCATCCGAGCCTCCCGAGTAAAGGGAGGGCTCCAAGTGGCAGCGCGATGAGGAGTCGTAGCCGGGGTCGGGCTGGCTGACCTCGAAACATCGGCGCCTAGTGGCGTCAAGGTAGGATGAGAATTTTTTGTCCTTTTGTTTCTAATGTTTTTTGCCATGATCTGACCGCAGCGCCTTTCGCAGCGTTGGAGGACACGGGTCCCTTCTGAAGCTGGCGCACGAAAAAGACTCTTGCCCTTCGATGGGCGCGCCAGGACCCATCTGGTGCTGCACCGGAGGCCGGCGGGAGAGTCACCGGGGTGACCGCGAGGTCCACCAGAGAGGCGCAGTCGACGGCCATGTCTACGGGAGAGCAGACAGTGGAGGGTGCGTCTAGGGCGCCCATGGGGGCACAGCGCAGCCAGGCGTGGCCGCGACATCATAGGTGGAGACGACACGGCTGGAGCTATCATCCGCGCTGGTGGACACGTCTACGGCGGGGTAGACGGGGGAGGCCGCACCCGAGGCATCCTCGGTGGACGTGGCACAGCTGGGCACAGCCACAACATCGTCGGTGGAGACGGCGCAGCCGGGGCCATCGTTCGTGTAGATGTCTACACCCATGGTGGGGCGGACAGAAGAGGCCATGCTCGGTGCATCCTTTGCGGGCGCAACGGCGGGACATGCTTCCTCGTTCGCGTTACGCATCCCTTCTACTGCTGGAGGGCCCGTCCTAGAGGAGTTGCTGCCACAAGAGGGATCGGTGCTGAGGCGTCCTAGCCTCTGGTCCGGGTCGGTGATGACCCGCACATCTGGGGAGGACCCTAGATCCGGTGGGCCGACCGGCGGAACCCAGGGGCAACGCTCTTCGCCCTCGACGACGCCGCAGAGGAGGGGGAGTGGGGGCACGTTTACTCGGGGGTAGGCATCGTGGTCAACTCCCTAACCACCGTGCTGAACTCGCTATGGAAAACCGTCACGCCGGTCGGCTAGGTACGTCATGTCTGTGTCTCCGACCTTCGTCTCTATAACACCTCTGGTGTTTTTAACACTAAAATATGCCATGTCATCATATGCATTGCACATCATCTTGTGTTAGTGAAAACTTTGATATGCATTCACTAAAACAAGTTTACTTTTATGATTATATGTGTTGACTTGTATGGGATGAATCAAGTTCAAAACCTTTGTATTGAATTGGAATTCCAAAACCCTAATTTCCAGCATTTAATTCTACCCTGGAAAACCTAATTTAAAATCTAAGCACATTTTGGGGTTGAGCCTAAAAGAAAAGGTGTAGAGCTTGTCAATGTGTACAAAGTTGGTTTTTAGTGTTTTCAAAGT